TTCTAGTAGCATGTCAGGAGAGTGGATGGAGTTCATGGTGTGGAAACTGGGCTGGCACAAGGGAGAGGATGAAGAAACAGGAAGGCTGCAGGGGTGCTGCTATAGGCAAGAACTTGCAGCTCTACTTCCCTGGGAGCCTTATAAACACAGCTCCAAAGGACTTGGTGAGTAAGAGAGGGGAGTAGTCCGTCAAAGCCAGGGTAGCTGCAGGTGAAAGAGTGAAAAGAAGACCAACGAGAACCCAAGAATGCTCACAGAGGGCTTGAGGCAGCTGCTCAGCAGAAGTTTCCCCCATGGTGGAAGAATCCTGTGTCTGTGCCAGCTACTGGCCAACTAAGAAACTCAATTCCAGGGCTCCTTAATTTCAATGAATTTATATTGAAATAGACCCATGTGGCAAGTGACTGTTGTACTGGACATAATAGGGTTGGATGAATAAAAAAGAGTGACATATATCTCACATCAACTTGTTTGTTTGTATTTTTCAATACAGGGTCACTGAGTAGTTCTGGCTGTTCTGGAACTTACTATGTAGACCAGATTGGAACTGAACCCACAGAGATCTACCTGCCTCTGCATCCCAAATGCTGGGATTAAAGTTGTGTGCCAACAAGATCACCATACCCAATTAGGTTTAATGAGTAATAACAAGTAGCTACAAAACTAAGCATTGTTGTTTCTGTTATTTAACTCTTTTTCTTGAGATTTTATTTTTGATTTGTATTCACGAGTATCTGACTGCATGTCTGTATGCCATGCCTATGCAGTGCCTGCAAACGCCAGAAGAGGACATCAGATCTCCTGGGAGTTATAGATGGCTGTGAGCTGCCATATGGGTTCTGGGAATTGAACCTGAGTCCTCTGGAAGAGCAGCCAATGTTCTTAATTGCTGAGCTGTCTCTGCGGCCCCTTCTGGCTGTTTTCTAATGCAAAAATGAAGGAAAAGAAGGCACATTCCCTTAGCTCAAGACGTTAGCAATCTAGGGGTAAAAAGATGGCTCACTGGTTAATTAGCACAGACTCCTCTTGCACAGGATCTGAGTTCAGTTCCCAGCACTCACAGTGGGTAACAGCCTCTTGTAACAAAAACTCCAAGGAAATCCTACACCTCTGGCCCTTGTGGGCAATAACATTCATGTGCAAATACCTATACACAGACATAGACACATAATTTAAAATAAGCTTTTAAGTAATAAAGCTAGTAATCTGATAAAGAAACATGAGTTTCCTGTGGGAAGGGAGGCCACACATAAGCGTGTGAGTGAAAATACCCCCCCCCACACACACACATGCAGACTGAAAACCACCTGCAGGACAATCTCTAATTCATAGAATACAGGTCTCATGTGGGGCATTTCTCTTCAATAGCTGACTTTAATATTAGCAGAGTTGGTACAATTAGGGATGTCCCAAGGACACATCTTCAGGGGAACTAAAACAACATTGGTTTTCGTGGTAAGTGAGGAATCAAAAAAGTAAAGTTGGCCTAGCAAGCCCAAGAATGAACCAGTAGACAGGATCTAGTGCACGGCCAAGTTTCAAAGGGAGGAAGGTGTCTGGGACGCCAGGTGGTTGCAGGACTTTGGTTTGGTTCATTCTTCTCGCTGGGGCCTCCTGTTAATGTAAGAATGGGTTTTTTTTTTTTTTTTTTTTTTTGGACAAATGAGTTTCAAGAATATTGTTTTTGAAAGATAGAGATTATCAATTCTAAGAGTTGGGGGGCTGTCTTCTTTCTGCATGGAATCATGGGCTATGAAATAGAAAACAAAGGGAAAAAGCCAGCAAAGCCACCAGGACACTTACGAGTGCACATAATTTCCTAGGGACAGAGATGGAAGCCTTGGAAAAAATGGTATGGACAGGGATAAACAGAGAACAGAAAGCTTCCATATCTGACTTTCTTGTTTTAGCTTTTCAAATTTCAAGATAAAAATAACAGCACTATATAGGAATAAGAAATTATATTTTCACAATGATATGGTTAATGAAGTTCAAAACATTTTTGCCTTTGTTTATTTTGTGTGTGTGTGTATGTATGTGTGTGTGTGTTTATGTGTATGTACATGTGCACATTCTTGGCACATATGCAGAGGTCAGAGGTCAACTTTCAATAGTCATTTCCTTCGTTCTACTATATGGGTTCCAGGATCAAACTCAGGTCATCATAGGCTAGGCAGCAAAAGCCTTGACACACTGAGCCATCTCAATGACTTGGACTTATAAAGATTTCCATACTTTAGGAAGATAAGAACATCCTCTGCAGGTATTAATTTTACTATGGAAGTTGCTCAGAGCTCAATATTGTTTTTATTTTTTAAATGTTTTTGTTTGTTTGTTTGTTTGTTTGAGACAGGGTTTCTCTGTGTAGCTTTGGAGCCTATCCTGGCACTCACTCTGGAGACCAGGCTGGTCTTGAACTCACAGAGATCTGTCTGCCTCTGCCTTCCGAGTGCTGGGATTAAAGTGTGTGCCACCAACGCCCGGCAGTATTTTTTAAATGTTTATGTGTATGTTTTGTATACACATTTGTCTCTGCACCATGAGTATGCAGGACCCCTGTGGCCAGAATAGGGTATTGGATTCTTGGGACTGGAGTCACAGATACTTGTAAGCTGTGGTGTGGGTCTGGTAACTAAATCTGGGTCCTCTGGAAGAGGTGCTCTTAACTGTTGATCCACAATGTGGTCAAAAGATCTTTCACCTAGGGAGCCATGGACAGATGGACAAAAAAGCACTAGAAGGGTTGAGGACCAATTCCTTGATCGCATAACCTGACAGAGGAAATGCAGTCCCACTGTGGCACAGGTTCATGTTGTACAATGATGTCTTGGTTCACATATAGGGGCACACGGGCACACACACACACACACACACACACACACACACACACACACACACACACACACACAGCTCTTCTCATTCTCAAGGTTAATGGTCTAAGGTTTTACATTTGCACCACAGAAAAAATACAGAAATAAACTGTTTTAACCTCAGTCACCCATGTTTTCTACTCTGGATGGTACTTCAGGCAGTGACCTATCCAAAGTGGAATGTTTAAAATCATCTGGGGACCTTATTAGGAATAGGGCCCACTGCCTGAGGTTCTTATTCAACACTACTTAGAATCAAAACTCAAAGCCTCCTAGGTGGTATAGGCATGAAAGCCAGATTTGGACCCATAGTGAGTGCCATGCTCTGACTCTGCTAGGTACTGTCACTGTTGCTATGGAAACTACTGGTATAAACCTCAGCCTGACTGAAGTTTTTTTTTTTTTTTTTTTTTTTTTTTAAAAGCACATATCTGTTTCAAAAAATAGAGGGCATTATTTTTGGAGAAGATGAGCTTTCTTTCCGGGGATATTTATACTTAGTGAAAAAAAGCAAGGCTCCCACAAAGCCAAATAATTTTCTCATTTAAAACCATTGGATAGAAAATGGAAGTCCTTTGCCACAAAAACCCAAGTGGAAGGAACCAGCAAGAAGTTATTCTCCGAGGCATGTTCTAGACCATCTGGATCATCCTTTGGATTTTAGCTGAGATAAGATGCTCTGATGGAGGAGCCATGACCCTCCTGGTAGTAGGGTTAAGGGATGACTAGCCAAAATGGCACCAAGACTTGGGAGGCCCCAGCATGAGACAAACCTGGAAGAGAATGAACCACCAGAAGTTTCCCATGATGGGTGATCAGTGCTGACACATACACTGTATCTATTCTCTGACTACAGGAAGAACAAATGGTACCCTCTTCCATCAGGCTTCCAAGGCAGAGAAGATGCAGTAGGGAGAGAACCTGACAGAGGGTTGCCCATCACTGTATTGAAGGGTTGGCCTGATACATTTAGGGCTTGGTGGTCTCTTCTCTTTTCCTTTATTTAAAAATCTGAACCTTGGCGGGGTGTTGGTGGCACATGCCTTTAATCCCAGCACTAGGGAGGCAGAGGCAGAGGATCACTGTGAGTTCTAGACCAGCCGAGTCTACAAGAGCTAGTTCCAGGACAGCCTCCAAAGCCACAGAGGACCCTGTCTCAAGAGCTAGTTCCAGGACAGCCTCCAAAGCCA